ACTGTACATCACATACACACACACAACATTCCTCAAAGTATCCACATCCTTAGAGCAACCTATGCAGACGACACTGTTATTACTAGACATGAAAATCCTATACAGAAATCACTTAACCTACAACATAACTTACAAAAACTAAACGATTGGTGTAAACTTTGAGAAAATGAAATAAATTATCAAAAGTCACTACACATCACCTTTACTCTGTGACTAGAAACATGCCCTGTTGTATAAGACAATGTTCCAATTACACAGACAGTCCAAAAGCTAGGCCTGAGGTTTGATAGAAGAATGACATGGGGTCCACATGTAAAGATTCACAGAAATATCACTTCAAATGAGGATGACGAAATATTTCATAGGAGAAGAGGAAATCACAGTTACAATTGACAGTCTGAAAATAGACAAAACAGCAAGTATAGACTGTATTGCTCCAGAAATACTGAAGAATATGGGAATGAACTTCAATAAATATTCTAGCATCTGCTAAATTTTATGGAAAAAGAAAGAAGTTCCCAACAAAATCAGTCATAATACTGATACATAAAAAAGGAGCCTACAGGGACTTTCAAAACCACACAAGAATCTTACTGCTTAGTGTACCATGCAAAGTATACTATAAAATTCTTGATGAGAGACTAAGAGGATTCATTGAGAGAATCCTAGAAGAACTATACGTTTTAGGCTATGAAGAAGCACCCAAGATCTAGTATCCAATATGAGACTATTCTCAGAACAAATCTTGGAAAAGAAAAAAGAGGTTTATTCCTGTTTTGTGGACTTAATCCAAGCATTTGGTAAGGTCAGGAACATGAACATAGCCAAAGAACTGAACGGACATGAAGTCGATCCAGGTCTAACGAGGGTCATTCTTAGTCTGTATAAAAAGAAAATAAACATGGTTAGAACCAATAATCATACATTTAGGGAGTTTCAGAGGTTTTTTTACATAGAAATGAACAGCAAAAACAATGAGGATAGAGAAAGAAGAGGAGAAGGAAAACCCAGTACTGTGGTTGAAGAGAGCAAAACTGGAGCAGATGAGAGACTACAAGTATCTGGGGGTTGAAAAGAAAATCCTTCTTAGTCCCTTACTACTTACAATTGAAGTATTCATTGTTGTGTAGAGATTCCATCTCCTCCATGCCTTATTACTCTGATTCCAGATCACTCCAATTATCGTGTGGAGGATTTATTCCTCAAATCTTATCTGGCATCATCACAGCATTTTAAACCCTTAACCCTTTAATGATGGTGGACTGTTATGTGAGTTGAGAGTGAATCGAGCCCAGGACCGATTGACTAATATATGAGTCGAGATAGGACCAACTCCTTGCGACGGTGGAATTATATATTAGTCAGAAGCCTGACAGTCTCTTTCTTTGTAAATGATAGGATTCTGGGTAATGAATTATATTTTCAAACTATCTCTTGACCTTTCTATCAGTTATAAAAAAGTTAGATAAAAAACAAAATAAAAAAGTTTGGAACCCTAAATAAAAAGGCTCAATCAGAGGTGATGAAAAGTATTCCATCATAGTGTCAAAGAGAACTAATGCTGTCCTCAAGGCTGCTCTTCTCTTCCTGACTATCTTAGCTAAAAGGTTAATTTGATATTTCTAGAAATTTTTTGGAATTTCAATACCTTTGAAAGATAGAAGAACCAACTGTTGGTTATTCATATAGGTTGTTGTGTTGTGTTAAATACATAATATAAAGCACTTTTTATAAACTAAAGCATTTAAGTAATATAAATTTGCAATTCTAAAAAAAGGAAAACAAATTAATATGAAAATAGTTTAAAAATTTAACATGCAAGAAACAGTGATGTAAATGTATTAAAAATAAACATGTTAATGTTTAAAAAACTAAGTGATATATTTTTAAAGACTAAATCACAGAAACTTAAACACTAACATAGAAACAGTGATTAGTAACAAAAAAACTTACCATTAGTAACATAAAACAATTAACTATGGTTGTATTTAAAAAATTATTGACAGCATTAACAATATTTATACCACAGGTCAGTGGCGGATTCAAGAATTTCCGGAGAGACACACACTTTTGTACCATGTCCAAATACCCAAGTAAATTATCATAAATTCTTAATAGTTACATAAGAAAAATGAGCAAGCAATAAATAATAATAATATATTAATCATTTAATAAGAACTAAAATAATTAATCCTTAATAAATAAAATCCACTCAGAAAATTCGATGGGTGGTCATCCATCCAAAATCCATCAACGCTCGACGTTGTTTAACTTTGATTACTTATTGCAAGCCCCTTACCCCACTGGCACTCCCTTGCTTCCTAATATTCAATTATTAAGACATTTTAACATCCCAAATAAATTATGAGTAACCTGACAAAATTCACATATTACAATCATACTCTTTAAACACTTAATTTTTCAATCAAGAGCGTAAAAAAAGAAAGAAAGTTTTGTAGCAACATTTTTCAAGAAGAAAAAAAATTCCACTGCCCAGAGGGAAGGGGGAGGGCACTACTCTGCTGGATCAGCTAGTGCCACTGGTAGAGTTGATCATTACGATTGGTTATCTTGAACATATAAAATAAAAATTCAAGGTAAAATTTTTAATCAGTGGTGTAGGTTTAAATTTATTTTTATTCTAGATATGGCAATTGTAAATGCATACATACTATGTGATCACCAAATATAGGATTTTTTGCACAGTAAACATCTTTGAAATACAGACCTAATATTAAAATGTGTTAAAAAAAACCAAAAACTTACAAACAGCTGTAATAAAGAAAATAAATTATGTTGAACTAAATACTTATTAATAGCATAATGCATGTTAAAATAAAATACTATAAAACTAATCATTTTTATTAAATAATATGGAAAACTGTGTCTACACTCTTAATTAACATATCTTGAAAATTATTTTCATTAAACTTTAGTACCATGTACATTTCTTCTAAATTTCTTTCGATCAATTCATACTTCCAATAATCAAGTGCATGATTTAAACATTGTGAAAGAACATAATATTAAAATATTCTTGTTAAATATATATTTTAAACACATTAACAAAATATAAAGCATATGGATTTATAGAACAAGAAAAGTTAATTTTATTCTGTGGCACTTAGTCCCCTAAGAATAATGGAGGTGTCCTATTGCAGTTAAATTTATCTGACATAAAATCAATAGTTATAAAATAATTTTATTGAATACAAAATATATAGTTGGTTTATTGGAAAAACAACCATATATTTTTTATTGAATATTATGTTCAAGATGCTTAGTTTAATATATGTTTATAATGTATGATATATATCATTTTTTGTTTGTTTGTTTTTTTGGCTTTAAGACTTGTAAAAGCAAGTCCTATTTTGGGATATATATCATATCCCTTCAGGGGAGGGATATGGAGGGAGGCCCCCTCTGGAAATTGAGAAAAAATTTGTCTTGGAAAAGTAACTCAAAAACCGGTTCTTTTGTTATTATTATTTTAATCTAAAACTGAATTGTATTAAGTAAATAATTTTTAACAAATTGGATATTTACACATAATAGTGCTCTGATTCCTTGAAAACTATTTTTAATAGAATGTAAGGGAAAAAAATTATGCAAAAATGTTGTTTTAAATTCATAGATGTCAATTATTCAGTTAAGGAATTTTGATCACCATTTTGTGGCAAAATTTTAGACGAAATAAAGAAACTAATATATATATATATATATATATATATACACACACATACACTTTTGGTGTGTGGCACAAGCACATCTATGGGGGGGGGAGGGCTTTCCAGCTGAGGTCCCCTCCCTCCCAAAATGGTAAAAAATATTTAAAAAATTATCTCTTAAAGTATTATTGTTCATGTTTGTATTTAATACGACTTCAAGAATCACTTAAACACCATTTCACATAGGTAGTTAATATCTTTATTTTTTTCCCTAAAGTAATTATCATTATATATATTTATTAAAAAAAAAAACTTCTGGGCTGAAGCCTCCTCTAAAATTAAATCCTGGATCCGCTAGTGCTGTGTGTAATTCACCTGTTTTGTAAGTGCGCCCCAACACGGGCTGATCTACGGGGGGGGGGGGCTTTCGGGCTGAAGCCCTCCCCAAAATGGTAAAATATAACCATGTTTTATGGAGAAAAAATAATTTAAAAATACCTCTTAAAGTATTATTGTTCGTATATACACTACTGGATTTTCCAGTTCCTCACTGGGCATGGAGATTTCGAGCTAAACTTCACGTCTAAGCATTGATGTAGATCCTATATGCCCAATCTGTAGTGTTCCGGAAACTGTTGAGCACGTGGTCACGACCTGCACCGCATTTGAAATGTTAGGAGCGACTATGACAAGAGCCGTGGGAATCTATGTCCTCACTGAAAATGAGTTTCCTCAGTTAGTGAGCGAGGAAAATTTCCCGCGGTGTAAGGATTTCATATATGGATGGAAGACGGCGGTGGGACTCGCTCACTTCCATATTAGTGCCCGCAAAAGAAGAGGACAAGCGCCAGGAAGACCTCCAGATTCTGGAAGCTAGGCCAAAAAATAAATAGTATTATTGTTCGTGTAATTACATTTAAAAGAACTTGAGGAATCACTTAGACACCATTTCATATAGTTAGTTAGTTTCTTTCTGTTTTTCTAAAGTAATTATCGTTATTTTTTATGAAAAAAAAGCTTTTGGGCTGAAGCCCCCCCAAAATTAAATCCTGGATCCGCTAGTGCGCCCCAACCCTCAGAATATTCCTGGATCGGCCTGTCCTATCCTGTTTACAATTTTTTTTTCTCAGGATACCATATTTTTGATCGATAATTACATAAAAACTAATATAATATTATGCTGTTAAATTGTTGATTGGGTTCCCCTTTATTTATTTAAGCATATTGCTTTTATTTTAGGAAATATTAACGAATAATTCAAATTTAATACTATTGGTAAATCACAACACTGTCACTGGAACTGATTCATTTTTGTATTCATACGCCAGCTGATGCTTGTATATACCAGTGTAGTCAGTTATTGTTTGTGCGCAGGTTCTATTGGCATCGAACCTTCCGTGACTGTAACCCTTCACAATATTTTGTTACCGTAAAAATTGCCTTGGACCGAGTTTTAATGCTAATGACAGTGTATAATTTAAAGTTTATTGTTTATTAGATCGTTTAACTTCGTACTTAACTATGGGAAATCAATTAGTCGGAATCGCACCATCACAGATTTTGCCTGTGGAACATTATTTAAATGAACATCCTGATCTGATATTTGATGTGAGTCTAGGCAGTACTAGGTTTTTCAAAGTAGCAAGAGCTAAGTCCCAAGAAGGCTTAGTTGTAGTAAAAGTTTTTGCAATACATGATCCAAGTCTTCCTTTAGCAGCACATAAATCTAGAATAGAACAATTGAAGAAAACTCTAGGATCAGCTGTTAATTGTTTACCCTTTCAGAGAGCAGTTTTGAGTGATAAAGCAGGATTTTTAATGAGAGAATTTGTTAAATACAGCCTATATGATAGAATTTCTACCAGACCATTTTTACTCCCCATTGAGAAGAAATGGATAGCTTATCAAATCTTAAATGCACTTGCTCAGTGTCATAAATTAGGTGTCTGTCATGGTGACATTAAACTAGAGAATATATGTATCACATCATGGAATTGGGTACTTCTTACAGACTTTGCCTCTTTTAAACCAACTTATTTACCTGAAGATAATCCTGCTGATTTTTCATACTTTTTCGATACTTCTCGTAGACGTACTTGTTATATTGCACCAGAGAGATTTGTTAAAAGCTTAGGTTCTGAATCAGGAAGTCATTTATTGCTTTCTGAAGATAATTTGAGAAAAGAGGAGCTCAAGCCTAGCATGGATATTTTTTCTGCAGGTTGTTCTTTAGCTGAATTATTTGCTGATGGACACCCTCCTTTTGATTTTTCTCAGTTGTTAGCATACCGTGGAGGAGAATATTCTGTGGAGAAATACCTATTGAAATTTGATGATGAAAATGTCCGTAATCTTATTGGAAGTATGCTTTCAAAGGACCCTCTATCAAGGTTATCAGCTGAAAAATATTTAGAAGAGTATAAAGGTAAACTGTTTCCAGATTACTTCTATAATTTTCTGTTATCTTATAACATAATTTTTTCTAATACGATTCCAATCTTGTCAGCTGATGAAAAACTTGAAAGGATGAAAACTGAAATTTTTAATGTGATAAATGTTATAATTGATGAGGACAGTAAATGGAAAAACACAAAAGATGAACTTAGAGACAAAAATGATGAACAATCTGCTTGTGATGCTTTAGTTCTTATAACCTCCATGATCACTTCATGTATTAGAGGCTTGCATTTTGCTGTTTCCAAGATTGATACGCTCGAAATTCTTGTTGAACTTGCTGCACATACAACATCAGAAGTATTGTTAGATCGTATCCTTCCTTATGTTATGTATCTAATTAGAGACCCATATCCAAGGGTTCGGGTTTGTGCTATATATTCACTAACAAAAATCTTATCCTATCTTAAATCTGTGCCACCTAGTGATTCAAACGTTTTCCCAGAATATATTCTTCCTGGTCTTTCTCAAATACCTAATGATGATGAAGTTGTCGTACGCGCTTCTTTTGCTGAGAATATTGCTCGGCTTGCTGAAATATCTTTAAAATTATTAGAATATTGTCAAGTCAATCAAAATGAAACTTATAGAAGTTCTTATGAAAGTGAGTTAGCTACTTTGCACCAAATGATGCAACAAATGGTTGCAGGATTACTAACTGATTCGTATAATATTGTGAAACAAACTCTTATTGAAAATGGAATTACCAAGTTATGTGTTTTTTTTGGAAAGCAAAAAGCAAATGACATATTACTCTCACACATGATTACCTTCCTTAATGATAAAGAAGATAAACAGTTACGTGGTGCATTTTTTGATTGCATTGTTGGTGTCGCTGCTTATATTGGAGTACATTCATCGCCAATACTCTCCCCTCTTTTACAGCAAGGTTTAACAGACACCGAAGAATTTGTGGTAAGAAAGGCAATAAATGCTATAACAGCATTGACTGAATTAAGTTTATTACATAAATCTGCTCTTTATCAATTATTAGATGAATGTGCACCTTTTCTGGTTCACCCTAATCTTTGGATTCGACAGGCTGCTGTAGGGTTTATTTGTGCACTGGCTAGAACTTTGAGCGTAGTTGATGTGCACTGTAAAGTAGCCTCAGTAATAAAACCATTTCTTAAAAATACTTTGATTCAACTTAACCAAGAAGTACTCGTTTTAAATGCTATAAAACCATGCATTCCTCGCAATGTTTATGATGCTGTTATTAAATATTCAGAACTACCTCTTCTTCTTCAAACACTAGAAGAAAGAAGAAATTCTAGAAATGATATTAAAGGAGTATCATACCCATTACCTTCCCAGCAAACTAACTCATTTCGTGTATGGTTTAACAGATTAAGTTCAGATGGACTTACTGAATCTGTTGAAGATTTATTGCTATTAATGAGTAAACATTTACAGAAGGTAAACCGCTACTCTTCTTTAGAAGTGAAGTCATATTCCAATGGTAAACTGGATTTAACATCAGTTTTAAAACAAAGTGATTTTCATTCTCATCCCATTAAAAGAAGCGATGCAGCTAAATATGAAATATATCTTCCTCAGTTGAAACGAGTCAGTGACGACTGTGTTCTAACTATGAATGAAGAATGGCGGACCATGTTCGGTAGAGAAGGACATACATCTGCAAAACATGAAAAAAGTTCTATACATAGCAATGATTGGAATATTAAAAGTTCAGGAAGTCAGTCTGTTATGGAACACAGCATTCAAGAGCGATCATATATTCAGTATCGTTGTGCTCCTTCACGTCTTGAGCTAAGAAAGCTATTCAAACATAGAGAAAGCTTACAAGGGTTCAGGAGTCCTCAAAATCATAGGAGCCGGGATGTTATTCCAGCTGGTTGGAGACTGCGCCCTGGTCTTGTTTCTCATTTACATGCTCATTCTGGCTCTGTTACCAGATTAGTTGCTATTCCAGACACAAATATTATGGCTAGTTGCAGCTTTGATGGGTGTGTAAGGATATGGGATTGTGGTAAAATGGAAGGGAGAAATATTGCTAATAGAGCTCGTCAAGTTTACAATGCACAGACTGGTCCATTAGTTGGCATGACCCTATGTAATGCCAATACCTGCCTTGGCATGGCAAGTCAGTCTGGTTCTGTTGTTGTTCTGAAGTTTGAATCCAATAGCAATAAGATGTCAGTGTTTGCCTCTAGACATTTAGATTTAGAAGAAGAAGGGCCTCCTGTTGATATTACCTATTTTGATTCAGGATTCAAATCAGTCCTAGTATATTCAACAATTTATGGTTACATAATTGGTTGGGATCTACGTGCTCCTGGAATAGCCTGGAAACTACAAAATGATATCAAACAAGGTGTAGTTACTGCACTTCACATGGACAATAAACAATGTTTTTTAACATTAGGAACTAGCAGTGGCTTCTTAACTACGTGGGACCTTAGATTTCATTTACCAATTTCTTCAATTGCTCATACAGGTGGATCAAGAATAAGGAGAATATGTGGCCACCCTAAAGAACCATCTTGGCTTATTTCTTCTGCTTTTGGTAACAATGAAGTATCTATATGGTGTATTGAAAGTGCCTCTAGACAAGCAGTTTTATGGGGAAGTTCTACCCCACCACTTTCGTCAGTTAATGTTGCTGGAAACAACCCTCAAGCTGTATGCGCAATGTATTCAGGTGTTGTTGATAAAGATGCCTTTTTATTAACAGGCGGTACTGATCATAGAATAAGGTATTGGGATCTCGACAATTATGCCAATTCATATGTTGCGATTCCTGCAGGAGGTGATATTGCTGGACAAACATCTTATTCTTATAAATGTCGTTTGATTGATGGTGTTAAAGTAGTGCATGAAATAAGGTCTAAGACTGGTTCTAAAAATTCAAATGATGCTGAAGGACCTCCCAGAGCTGGACCAGATCCTCCACCCGTAGGACATCATAATACAATTACTGATTTAGCAATAGTATCGGGAACTGGAAGTTCATTATTGGCTTCAGGTGCTTGTGATGGTGTTATTAAAGTGTGGAAATAAGTGATGTGTGATATATAAAAATATGAATTCATTCCTATTGGTCAACTATTTGTAAAATTTTGTGATATTTTAGTCAGTATGTTTTAATGGTATTCTTTGTAAAATAAATAACAATATTTGTATATTCGATTGACAAGAATAATACACAGAGTTGTACAAATAATGTAGAAAATTAATTATAAGGAATATTTATTTGTTTTTTAAAGTTCCTCCTATTTTATATTATATTATTTTGGTTAAATTGAATTTGTCTTTCATTCATTGCTTGATAAGATTTAAATTATAAGAATTTTAAGGTGTCATCAGGATTATTGTTTTGTTACCTTTTTCCGTTTCATATGACTCATCTATTCTATGGTTTTAGATTACTTGTAATTATTAAATAAATGTAAAGAATTATTTTTGTTTTGTTCCTAAGTTTAATAGATTTATTAGTTAAAAAATGCAATGGGATAACTTTATTTGTAATAATTTTGATTTTATCTTTGGGTTATTCCATGCCAAATCATTCAGGGACTAAGGTCTATGCTACAGCTTTTAATGAAAAATTATTTATAAACTATGAAAAGTTTTTAGATGTAAATATATTGTTCTGATGTTATTAAATAATTAATTAAATGAAAAAATATTGAGTTAAAACTTTTGTCTGTCATTATATATTTACTTATATAATTATTATATTATTATTAAGCTACTGTAGCTTAATATATGTGCTAGTGGACGTTGCTGAGACTGTCTGTGAGTCCCTGGCCTGATCGAAGCTCTATTTTTAAAATTTTGAAGAGGATCCCATCGTTAACTTATAAAACTAAAAATACCGGGATTGAAACATTAATAAACATAGAGGAAATGAACATCCAGTAGTTTATTAAATAATTAATAAGTGACCTTATTCACAATTAAATGGTTATGTTTAAATTTAATACTCAAAGGTTGATTAAAGAAAAGTTGTAAATATATATACATATATTTTTTCCTGTTGTCCTTGTAGATCTTGGCGCCTTAATATACCTACTGCAACCCTATCCATCTTGGGTTATTCCTTTGAAGTTATCTGCATGAAGCTCTATTGCATCTTTGTTGATTTGATCTATCCATCTGCTTTTTGGCCTTCCATTTAGTTTTGTCTACTATTGAGTTATTGTCCTGTAGAGGCTTCCAGATGGATTGCTTCTAGCTATGTGTCCTGGCCTACTTAACCTCCATGCCTGCATGATGAGCTATTGATTGACCAGTTTCTGTAAGCAGCTCTTTATTAGTCTTTCTTCTCCATCTGTTAATACTCTGATCCCACATTGCTCTGGTTATGGTGCAGAGGATTTTTCTCTCAAATTATTCAATAATTTTTTCTATGGCACTGGTTATTGTCTGGGTCTCACAACCATTTATAAGAACTGGCTTTATCATAGTATTGTATACCCTTAATTTGTGATTTTTTGGGTTTTCAATATCTTTCAAAGAGATAAGAAAGCTGTATTTGTATTTATTATACGTTTGTCATTCATTAAGAATATTGTTGAGCCGAGGTATTTGAATTTTTCTACTCTCAGGAATGATTTCCCTTTTATGTAAATTATTTGTTTTGGGGGTGGAATTTTTAGCTTATAATATTTATATGTATATATATATATATTTTATAGAAATGTTTATTTTGTTTAAATTTAAGTCTTTTAAATAAAATTAATAATATTGAAAATTAAAAGTAGATATTTTTTAGTTTCTAAAGTTTGCAAATCAATTAATATAAAATATTATTACTAATAATTTATGTAATAAAACTATTCATTTATAAAACAAAATAAAATAAGTGAGAGCATTAGTATTTGTGGAATGACTGATTTTGATACATAATTTTATAGTTAAAAGAATAAAGTAAAAATATTAATTTTTAACTTTAATATTATTTACTGTTTTAGATTGAATTGTTAGATTACAAAATTGAATTGTTTGGGATCCTGTTTAATTCACAGGCAAAGTCCTAACAATCTGTTTTTTCTTCCAAGCCTCTGACTTATTTCAGACAAGCTGTAATATAACAATGAGTTTTCTCTCTTGGATTCGTTGTAAATCTGCTACTTGGCAATTCAAGCCATCTTCTTAGTCCCATGATATCGATAAAAACTACTCTTATAATTTTTTTTTTCATTAAATATTCATTACTGTGATATGTTCTTTTATTTAAATGTTACTTATTTCAACTAAGAAAAAGCTTCTATCAAACTTTTTTTTTTAATGTTTCCATATAATTTCACCTACTCACCACTCTCGATTTTATATTTATTCAAAATAATGATTAAAAGCGGGAAAACCTTATTCTACATGAAACTTTAATATTGTAACATCTCTTTTATATTTTATTTTATAGTATTATTATTTTAAACTAATAATAATACCTCAGAAGCTCACTTTATAATGTTGGGATACTTCCTAAATAAACAAGAGGTTATTAAATAATGAATAAAATTATAAGAGTATTAAATATTTAATTGAAATTTATAATTATTTTATCTCTGGTATGAGCTACTGACAATCACATCAAAAGACTCAGACAGACTAACATTAACTACACTAAACATTGTTTGATTTTAAAATAAAGTCAAAAATGGATTGACAAGCTTTTTTCTATATATACTGTTTCTTCCTTTGTTGCAATACATTCAATCATCTTCAAACACTTTCCAATGTTCTGCCAAACACAACTTCCAAAATGGTGTCACTTTCTTCTACTCAACTCAAGCTCCCTGGGGGATCCTCTCTCTTGTAATTCCAAACAACAACTTACAAGATGGTAATACTATTACTTGGTTTTATTCACTGGAGCCAGGATCCTTTCTCCCATCCTTTCTTCGCCCCAGCCAAATACCAACTGCTTGCCAAAACAAAATCCTTTGTCCCTCTGCTCTTTTGGGATTTTCCTTCCTGGAGAAACTACAGAGCAGTTATTTTCTTTTCCCTGTACTAGTGAAACTAGATTAGCTTGCTTTTCAACTGTTAAATTAATTTATTAAATCATTTTTAACAACTTTCAATTAAGGTGTATTTTACAATATTATACAATTAAGTTTATGCAAATCCAAAAATACTGCTATATTTTACCTCATCAATCTCACCTTCTTACTAAAATCTATATAAAATCATTAACATTAGCAATTTAAATTTCCATTCAACATGTCTGGTTCAGTAGTTATATAGTGTAAATGGTCCAATAGTTTTCACAGTTAGTGGTTATAAACAAAAAACAGACTGCCCTTTTAATTTTTTAAATAGTAATAGCTTTATTTATAATAAATTTACGTAAATACTGTGGAACCAGGAGCCTAAGTCAAACTAATGACCATCTGTGGGGAATCAACTAAAGCAGAAATTTTGAAGAAAAAAATTAGATCTTATAAATATTAAAATTTGAAAAAAAAAATGCTGACATTCTATTGAACATATTTAAATAATTACTGTATATTAAAAATTTAGCATGATTGGTAATAATTAACTTCTTTTATTGATTCATACTTTTTTTTTGGTCTCCCCTTCCTTGCCTTTTAGGCTAAACAGGGTTTTCCCCGATGTTTAATTCAAACGCCATCTATTTTAAAAATACAGAGATTATGAAGCAATAGGTGAAACACCACATAGAACACCAGCCATTTGCTTAATGAAAATTCAATCATAGATGAAAAAAAAATCAGACTTCAGGAGTAAAAGCTGAATTGATATCATCCGAGAGGATAACCTCTCAAATTTTATATTTGAATACATGGATGGAAATTGTGCAATACCGAGCTTACTAAAAAGTGTTAGAGAATTTTATCACCTGCAGTACCATTTACTACACCCATTACATAGGATATCAAAAATCTTTCCACTATAATGTTTTAATGATAAATACTATGCAAATATATATTACTAACAGAGTGTTAAAGATTTTTACAAACACATCACCAAACTCGATGTTTGATGATTCTGTAAAATCAGTGGTTTACTGAAAACAATCTGTACTGTTTCAGGACTCAGATTTAAGGAAAGACTAGACAGACTTAACGGATATGGGACTTTACATTGACAATTTAAGTACAGTATTATGAAAACATTACACAGTATTTGAGATGGAAGTATTGGCCACATTATCTGCAGCCACATGTTTGAAATCAATAAAGATAGCCGCCATTACTATCTACTTAGTCAATCAGCTCTTAAAGCCCTAGAGTTCCCTAAAGTGAGCAGTACTGGTAAGTGAATGCTGGCAGGCATTGGAATAACTGACCTACTTTAAAAAGGTGGAACTAGTGTGAGTCCTTGGTCATAAGGGAATCAAAGGTAATGAGAAAGCCAGTTTGCTTGCAAGAAATAGTGCCGAGGTTCCAATTATGCGATCAGAAGCTGCAATAGACGTATCAAAGAAATATTTGTCAGAAGAGATCCTTCACTGAGCATGGAAAAGACAGGTAAGGAGTGGAGAGAATGTATTTGGCTTAAACAAGTCAAACAGTGAATTAAGTATTCTCCTTCTAGAACTAAATAACTGCTAGGCCTAAATTGAAATGGAATCAGGTTAAATACTGCGGTTCTTACAGACCGCTGCAGTCTTATAAGACATCTTAAGATTTTGTGAGAGAGTTTATGTTAAACTCTGCCACTTATGTAGACAAACCCCAGAAACTGCCCTACATTATTTAACAGAATGTGAATGCTTTGCATCACTCAGATACAGGATTCAAACAGTAGGCTTCCTCCATCAAATGACTACCCCTTTTGAACTTCATTTGAAGAGTCAATAGGTTCGAGATGGAGGTAATATAGGTCAGCATTGGTATGAATTTTGTGGTTGGTGAAAAGAATCAAAAGGCACACTTGCCTGAGTCCCCTTCCACCTTTACCATTTGTTGAAAACAACAGGATCTTCAAGAATCACTCCGTGTGATAAAAGCAACAGCTCTTTAGTTAGTGTATGACATAAAAAAATATACACCCTCACAGAATATTAAAAATGTGTATTTTCCTGAAATACATACTGTTATCTTGTTTAAAAATACATTAATAATATTATATTAAATTACCGAAAATCTTTCCATACTTTTTTGATAAACATAATATAGGTATTACCAACAGGGTGTTTTTTATTTTATAAACTGCTAAAGTTTGATACATCTATATAGTCACTTCATCTCATTCATTATTTGGTCCACAGAGATCTTTTGGGTCTTACTTTATGAGAAGTTTATCCTAGTTGAAAAACAAATTATGCTACATAGGAAAAAAATAGACTATTCTTTGTCAAAATAGACTAAAACCTCTCATATTTGCTTATTTTGTAAATTTGACCAGCGTTCAGAAAGTATTGGGCCTAAAGAAACAAATTAGGTCTCATTTGTTCCATAATTTGTTCACTTTAAAAGAGTTTAAGTCACTTTTATTAAAGTAAATTTGGTCCTTGGGGTCAAAATCGAAAAAAAAAAAAAAACACCAACATTATTGCAGTTTTAATATTTTTCTAAATGATTCGGAGATCTTTTAAGGTTAAAAACTTTTCATTGGCCACCTATTATGTTCAAAACATTAAAAAACAATACTTTACTTCTTAGCAAGATACTATTTTATGTACTAGTAATAATAACAAAATTGTGATGGACTGTTTAAATATTTTAGTTTCTTAATTATTAGTTTAGTATTGAATAATAATGGTATTTACATGATTTTGGTTAGTATAAAAACATTAACTTCTCACCATTTATAATTATTTCATTAAAGGCTGTTACAGATATTCATTAAATAATGTTTTAATAATTACAATTTTATACAATTGCTCTATCTTTTTAAATGTTTTTAATATTGCAACTGATAATAAAACTGTTTATAGTCTTATAGCTGGTTCTTATGTATTGTTATTTTAGGTTTTTGGGCATTTATGTACTTTGTGGGCTTCTGTTATTTGGCAAATCAATGGAGCAATACAACTATTGATGAAGATATACTAGAAAGAGAAGGCACCAGCAGTATTCAAGCTGCCATAGTTTTTTCATTTTTTTCAGTCTTTTCATGGGTAATGTTTTTAATTGATAAAATGTTTACTATATGTTTCCAATTTGTGATTTTATATTTATTTTCCTTTCTGCCTCTCATTTTTTCATGCAAGCAAATTAAAAATTCTAAATGATGTCTACTTATAGCTTTTGTTACTAACAAAAAACTTATTTATCCATCTGGAACATAGGAATTCACAAGGAGGGTGACAAAGGCACACAAGCATCTGCTAACAAGTTCTATTTAAATATAAGTATTTTATAATGTTAGTATTTTTGGTTTCGTGATAATTTATTTTATTAAACATTCCCAACAAGTCTGAAGTGAAAATCATCTCCTTCATAAGTGATTTTGTGAACTGTGAAAGTTTTAGCATCTATAAAGAACAGTTATCGATGAGCCAATTCAAGCTGGAACAGGCTTCTTTGTGAGTAATAAAATTAGAAAATCTATTCTTAATTTTGAGCCGATAATAGGTAGACTATCCAAAATAAGAATCAAATTCCGAAATATTACTATATTCTCGGTATATTCATCGATGGGGGATGCTGATGATGAAACTCATGGTTAAAATTAAAGCTGATGGTTAAAATTAATATAAATTTATCTTTAACAATGACTGCTAAAAAGTTGTAAGAAATTAATTTTCCGGACGATATCAGAAGGTTTTTTAAATCGCAGTATTTGTAAAAATTTGATTTAAAACACCTAGTTTTGTTAACAAAAAAGATTGGAAGTAAAACAAGTTTTCTAAATGATTATTATTTTTTTTTAATAAAGCAGAATGACAGTAAAAAGAGTATAAAATTTCAAGAAAAAGTTATCAACCATCGGCTCGAACCAAGCAGTTTTACAAAACCTACAAATCATGCGAAATTCCACAAATCAAATAGATTTTCAATTGAGCTATTTATAATAAACAGTATATGTTCATTCTGCCAACTAAAAATATTCTCACAAACTGCCTAAAATATCAATTAAACAGTTTATCTAGTTTTTAGATATAGTAACAATTAATTTTTGGTTGTGGTACAGTAAATATTTTATTAGGAGTTGGTATACAGAATTTAGTTTTCTTGCATGATTCACATTCATTACAATAATATATGATACCATCTTTCATTCAAGAACAGTGACACCACACAGAGATCCCCTGTTTGCGTATCTGACTCCTGGCCTAAGAACGCACCAGTGGGTAAATTACTGGTTTCTAATTTGTTTTTTCTGGTGTTTACATAAGCTTGAGAATCCACATTTCCTTTGTTATTGAATCCCTCAAGAAGTTTGTCTGATGAGGCCAAGGATTAGAAATTTTTAGCAAAACCTGGTTTTATTCTTCACAGTAAATGTCTTCAATAGCATTTTTACTGGAGTGGATTTTTGAACTGTGTGTCTGTAACTTAGATAGTTTTCCCTTACATATCGTAAGCCAAGCATTTGTATTCTTGATTCAAAATAGTCAAATTAATGGTTTAGGATCGATTTGCAAAGGTATAAGTGATCATATGTGTACTGTTCTGTATCAGAAAGAGTGCTACAGCAGAAGTAATAGTCTTTTCTCTCCCTTTTGAGATTTAGGAGAGCACTTAACCAAGCGTTACTGAACTCGCCTAAAAGGGTGTTTCCAATCAGGGAATCGAACAGTGGTGTAGGGGAGAGGGAAGGAGGAGTGAGAAGGTGTTCTTCGAGATGCTTAAAAGTGTCTTGCTATCAAGACTATGATGATGGACTGATTGTTTTTCCATTAGTGCCAAGAGAATGTATGAGACGCTTGGCTAAGTGGGCATAATTATGTATGAATTTTCGATAACAACCCGTCAAACCTAGAAATTGTTTTATTACTTTATGTGTTGTAGGTAAAGAAAATTTTTCAATGGCTTCTACTTTAGACGGATTGGTTCATAACCCCTCTTTAGACACTATATAAACCTGAAAACGGGAGTTATATGGTTAGGAACTCGATTTAACCAATGGTGAGTGAATGTTGACTAAATTTTTTGAATACTATTTCAATAAAGGGTCTTCGAGATATTTTTTGAAAGATTAATAATGTCAAAATAGACTAAACTCTAAACTATTACATAATGTCCATGTCCCTCTGAAAGGATAGGAGGTGCATTATAAAGTCTGAACAGCATTCAAAGAATAGGGGGAGGAAGAGATACAAATTCTGAATGGCATTCATAATGGGCGGATTCTTTAGAGAAGGGAGTTATTTTTGCTGTCTCATCTATTTCAATCTGATGGAAATCAGATGCTAATCTGTAGTTTCTATTGTATTTCCATAGTATTATAGTATAAATTGTATATCCATAGTTACAATTATATTTCCATATGGGCTAGTCAGTTTAAAAACTGGCAGTATTTTTTAAAATTTAGTTGTTTTAAATGGATTTTTTCATCTTTGTTCATTTCTGAGTATATATTTAACAGTTTAACTAATTTATTTTAACTATTTTCTTCTATATTCTTGACTTATGAGATTATTAATTTCATAATTTCCAGTATCATTATTATTGTTAAATATGTTAGTTCTTAGTTGTTATATAGGAATAGCACACATTAACAGCTGATTCTTAGTATTACAGCACTGGCCCTTCCGGTTGGAGATTGACATGAAATGTTCTCAATTTTTGTTTGGAAAAATAAACTTTATTCTGGGATAAAATCCCCTCAGAATAACAATGATGTACAAATGTATATATATATATATATATATATATATATATATATATATATATATATATATATATATATATATATATATATATATATATATAAGATAAAGACCGGAGACTGGCGATATCAGCCTTAATACCATCTTGTAATGTAAATAAACATAGCAATTGTATATAAGGCAGATTATTGGACGAATAAAGCAGTGTTTATTCAGAAGTCGTGAGTATTGTTTCTCGTTCCTCTTTCCTTCTTTTTTTTTATTTTTCAAGCCCGGAGACGCTTAACTGGTGCCGAAACCCGGGAGAACGTCAGGAGAACACGGAAGTAAAATTTTTTTTTCTGTCTTTATTTTAATTTTTTTTTCTCTTCTCCTAGTCATAAGGAAAAGACGAGATGCCGACAGAGGGCATAATTCGACCAGGAGTGTTGAACGCACCTGAAATGCCGCAACCTCAGGAAATGCCGATAGCGCAGATTCCTCAGATCGCCCCTCAGGTTCCGCAGATTCCGCAGATACCTCAGATACCGCAAGTACCGCAGATACAAGAGATCCCTCCCTTACCTAGGGACACATTGGCAGAGGCGCATGCCAATGCATTGGAGTGGATGAAGATAAGGGCAGCAACCACGCAGGATCTACGGAGAGCAATCGCAGACCTGGAGCGATTCGGGGGCGAGATAGGTGAACTTAATCACTTCCTGAAAGGCGGAGACCGCCTCATATCAAGAATCGAAGCAAAGGTGGCGGAGGACCTCGTGAACTTGGGAGACGCAGAAGCACTGAAGGCAGCTCTCGTGTGCCGAGTGAGGAGGAACATCCTCAACCAAATCCAAGCGGACGAGGAGACACCATGGCCAGTGATTAAGGAGCGTTTGAAGAAGGCTTTCGGAGGGGGCCGATGGACGCCGGAAGAAGATATCTTCCAAATGTTTAGGGAGTGTCGGTCCCAACGCCAAACAAGAGGACAGTATGCGGGGGTACTAGTGGCGAAGTACAACCGCATAACTGAGAAAATGCGTGAAACCATGAGTGTGGGAGAGGTCGAGGCTAGGATGGAATTCCTTTCGACAATACTCAAGGTTCAGTTAGCTAAGGAGACTGGGAGAAGGGACGGACTGCCTAGAGAGCGATCGTTCCTCGAGTGTGCCCAAGAAATGATAGATCTGAGTGCAAGAGAGGAAGAGACGCGGATGGAAGTAGAAGAACCAGGGTGGACCCGAGTGAGTGACAGACGACCCCGGACAGCCCAGATAGGGTGGAGGAAGAGGGAAATGAAACACCCGAACGGAGAAAAAGCCACGACGGGCGAGAGAAGATCCGGACAGTCCAGGCCTAGGAATGGACCCCGGAGGGAAGACCGAAAATGTCACGGGTGCGGGAAACCGGGACATTTGGTAGCACAATGTCCGCGCACTAGATGTTTCGAGTGCGGGACTGAAGGGCATATTGCCAGACAGTGCCCGTACATGTTTCGCAGGAGGGAGAGACCTCTAGACGAGCCAATGGAGGTGAACGCTCAAAAGTTGAAAAAACGAGCTAGGATGCAGCAGAGAGACGGATCTTCGGAAGAGGCAACCGAGGAGTCGGGACGTCGGGAACGGAGTCTGACGAGCCAGCCAGCAGTGGAGGCGAAGGAGGCAGGAGCAGCCAACGGAGCGAGCAACGACGAGCGACGGCGGTAAGGAGGAAGCGAGGTGGCATCTGAGAAGGGTGTCAGCAGAGAGGCGACCGCACAGCAACCTGCAACAATATTAGAGGTAAGCCATGCTGGTTGCCGATTATTGAAGTAGATGGGGGAGTGAAGTGTCTCGTGGACACAGGGAGCTCGAGTACTATCTTGACTCGGGGGGCGTTGGGGAGAGTGTGCGGGAGCGAGAGGGTACTCCGGATACAAAACTGTGGCTGCCAGCTAATCACTCTGGGTGGTCCCTGTAAAGTAGAAGGGGAAGCGTCAATTACGCTTGACCGGTGGGCAGGGAAGAAGGGGGAGCTAAGGGTGCATGTGGTAGAGAGCATGGCGCGGGAGTACCAAGTCATAATAGGGTGTGATCTGTTAGGACAGGTAGGGGTAAGCATTAGAAACCGTAGAGGAGCTTGGAGTATCAGGCTGGGAAAGAGGAAATTTGGATGTATAGGGGTCGCGAGAGAAAGAAGGGTGCGGATAGGAGCGGTGAACAGGGTGGAGGACTGGAGAAAGGCGTTACAAGCGGAGTTCGTAGATATTTTCTTCAGGGAGGGCGAGGTATTGGGGGTAACAGGGAAGACGGTACACGAAGTTCCACTGAAGCAAGATAGGGTGACCTACGTAAAGGAAAGGAGATACCCGCAGGCGATGAGGC